CAGTAACTTCAGCCAAATGTGCAAAGACAGGATGCTAGGCACAGAAAGAGAAGAGGAACCAGGAGCCAGTGGATAAGGGAGGAGGAAGGAAATGGTCTTCGTGTGCCAGATGACACATGACACTATCTCACTTAATCCTCATAACAACAATACCATATAAGAAGATATTATTATCTTCACCGTACTCACAGGAAACTGGTCTCAGGGAGGACAGACAACACACCCAGCAGCACACAACTGAAAGATTGGCAGAAACAGGATTTGAAACCAAGTCCACCTCATGCCAAATGCCCCTGGGCTGCATTATCAGAGTCAGGAAGGAGACTCAGTAGTGATCTCTGTCTCCATGACAACACCTGACACAGCCCTGCCTGCCACAGTCACTGAAGTGTGTGTGACCTGGATACCTACCTGCCTGATTCTGGTTTTGTCCTCTTTATGATCTGTGAGTCTGGAAAGGGGAGAGGGCAAGGGCCAGGCTGTCACTCTTGTAACCATCCTTCCTCTACCCTTGTTTCCAAACATTGGCCTTGACTGTCCCCAGTGACCAGTCTCCCTAGGAGGCCATTGTGCTGGTTGTTTCTGGCCTACAGCAGCTGGCCTCTCTGACAGTCTGTAGGAAAGCTTATACTCACATCCTTCCTCCCTTCTCCTGCTCCTCCCACGGTGAGGCTCAGGCATCTCATCTGCCTGGCCTGCGGCTCCTCTGCTGCTCCTCTCCTCCCCTCGCGATAGTGTGGCATTGCTCTTCAAACCAATGCATAGGGTGCTGCTGCTAGGTTCAGACAGAACTGCCTGTGTTTTGTAGTTCTTGTGGATCACATTGTCGATGATGATAGTGGAGATAAGTGCCAGAGCAGCCCATATCAGGCCTCAGAAAAGGCACCATTCACCGAATATTTCTTTTTTAAAAATACGTTTTTTATTGTAATAATACAGTACGGAGGGGTTACAGTTACGTGTGTATGGTCATGAGTACATTTCCTAGCAAGCATTGATACCTCCTCCTTTCTTCTAAGGGACTCCATTGGTTTGAGTTTGGCGATGTGTATTCAATGATCATTTATCTTGGGACACAGATGATCTAAAGGAAAAATCAAGTCAGGGCAGAAATGAAGAGCAAATGTCTCATCTGGGAACTCTGAGGAAAGATGTTAGTGCTACCAGGGAAGACTGATAGAAGAGGAGGAAGTAGGGAGAAGAGGAAGGGTTGAGCCACATTGAGACAGATGAGAAAACAGAGCTACTCCCTAAGTATTGTGCTTCTCCCTATGAGAAATGACAAGAGTAACTGCCGGCTGTATGGGCCAGAAGAAAACATCCTCTGAAATGCCTTCTAGACTTATGCTAACTTGACTCATGATGAATCTCTAGATTACTTCAGCAGGAAGCTGGCATGCCAATAAGACCAGATATTACTAGAGGACTGGGGCTTTGGGTCTCTTGATAATACCCCAGCCTCACTGGAGAGAGGCTAGAGATAGAGGTCCAACAGATGACCAATGATCCAATAAATCCTGTCTACGTAGTGAAACACTAATAGAAACTGTAGACAACAAGGCTCAGGTGAACTTCCTAGTTGGTGGACACATTACGGTGCTGAGAGTGACATATCTTGATTCCATGTGGGGACAGTGCAGAAAATCTGCACTTGACTGATCCTGATCTCTGTTGTTTGTCATAAAACTGCCCTCATAGGTATAGCACTTTGCTGAGCTCCGTGAGTTATTTTAGCAAACAAATGAGCATAAAAAGGTAGGGTAGTCAATTTGAAGTCAATAGGTCAGAACTACAGGTGGCATGAGGATCCTAAAGCTTTGGTTGGGGTCTAAAGCAAGTAGACTTTTATTTTTGTCAGTCATGGGGCTTGAACTCAAAGCCTGGGTGCAGTCCCTTGAGCAGTTTTGCTCAAGGCCAGCACTCTACCACTTTGAGCCACAGTGCCATTTCCCATTTTCTAGTTATTAATTGAAGATAAGAGTCTCATAGATTTACCTGCCCAGGCTGGATTTGAGCCATGATCCTCAGATCTCAGCTCCCTGTGTAGCTAGGATCACAGGTGTGAGCCACCCAGCTAGCTACAAGTAGCCTTTTGTGAAAGATGACACCCCTGACCTGTGAAGTCTGTGCTCAATCTGAGTAGATAGGTTTAGAACTACATTTGCAACATGTTTTGGAATGAATGACAGAACCCTGTGGTCCAATAAGGGAGATCAATGCCAATTAACATCCATTTCTCTGCCATTGCACTCCCTAGCAAATCCCTCAACCAGCTCTTGTGTCAGCTGCCTCTTTGGGTAAAGGAATGATTAGAATTCCAGTCCTGGAGCTCATTCTCATACGAGGCCTGTGGCTGTACTTTCATAGTGCCCCTGAAATGACATTTTTGGAGTCAAATCAGCTATTTTGGCTGATAGAACATGCTAGTGCTATGGAGTGAATTGATTACTGAATAATCAAACTCATTTGGTGTCTTTAAAATGGAGATCATTTCGCAGAGTTCAAACACAGTCCAATTATTTTGTTGTTAAGAAAAGTGAATTGGCTTGGCCTTTTGCAATTCGATTGGTTGCTTGGCAATCAACTTGCCAATAATTTTCGCCTCCCCATTTTTCTCTCCGATTTTAATTGTAGCATTGGAATAAAAGAGTGATCCACCCATCTGTTGCCTTGGATTTTGAAGCTTAATTTTAAAAGTCAATCCTTAGCCTTAAAAAAAAAATAAGGAAGAAAAGAACAGAAAAATCACCGAATAAAAGAAATCCAGTCATTATTTTGTACTCATTTTCTGTCTCTTCTTTCACCGGCTATCCTCCATCTTCTTAGTGTCTTTTCTTTTACTGTTCTTCTTTTTTCATAAAGAATTGGGAAATAAAATCAAATTCGGAGTTAGCCAATGCTGAAATACAAGAAATTCTACTGGTTCCCATGTATAGTGCTTGAAATCAACATTATTGTGAACATTTTTCTTATTCACATCCCACTGGTGCTTCTGGTCTGTCATCACATACATGTCTTTGAAGCACAAGCTTCCTTGCTGATCTTTTTATTTTATTTTGTTTTTATTTTCCTTAGGTAGTTGTACAAAGGAGTTGCCATTCAACAGAGCAGTTTATAAATACAGTGTCTCTCAAGGTCACCCCCTTTAACATTCTCACCAATTTCTCCCTCCCTACCCCTTCCATTCACTTTCTTAATTTTCAGGCTACATATTGAATTTTTGCCATTTAACAAAGCATTTTATATATACAATGCATCTTCATCTGTGTCATTCCTTCAACATCTTCCCCCTACTTCCACCCACCCCTTCCCTTATATCCCTCAGTTTGAGGCTTATGCAATACATTCTTGCCTATATTCTACTCATTTCCCTCCTTCTCCCACTTATTCTTCTACCTCTCTCCTCCTGACCACCCCCTTCCTACCTACCCATTTCCTAGTACTCATTTTGTTGGACTTTGACTTAGTCTTTCTGAAGAATTATACTATTGTGTACTCCACAGATAATATTATGCTTCAGTTAATTCATTTATAACTGCTTGGGTGCCAGCCAGTGTGCGTACTTCTAGATTTATAGGTACATTTCAGTTCCACTAATGAAATAGTGCAACCTATGCTTCTCTGGGTCTCGCATATCTCACTTAATCCTGCCCAAGTCTTTCCCATTTCCTTACAAATGGTTCAATGTCATTCTTTCTAGTGGATGAATAGAATTCCATTGTGTATACATACCATACTTGATTGTGGATCTCTCTGAAGAAACCTTTTTTTCAGAGTACTCCGTCAAACAGCAGTCTTAGATAGACACTTCTTTTTTTTTTATTGTGAAAATACTGTACAGAGGGGTTACAATTACATAGGCAAGGTAATGAGTACATTTCTTATCAAGCATTGTAGCCTCCACCTTTGTTTCCCCTTCCCATCCCTTCCCAGCCTCCCCCTGCCCCCCGTAATCTCCGCCCCCCGCCCCCGCACCAAAGCTGTAAAGTTTGTTTTCGACATAACGACTTGTACATCTCATTGTTGCAATGGGTCCACCTGTATCCCTATTTAAAGATAAGCACTTCTTACCTCTGTCTTCAAATGATTAGCTGGAAGTAGACACTGGTCTGAGTAGACACCTGTCCAAGCTTATCATGTGCCTCTTATAAAAAGCTAAACTCAGTTCCTGGGTGCCGGTGGCTCATTCCTCTAACTCTTCAGGAGGCTGAGATTTGAGGATCTCAAAGCCAGCTTGGGCAAGAAAGTCCATGAAAGCTGTGTCTCCATTTAATCACCAAAAAAGCCAAAAATGGAGGTGTGGCTCAAAGTAGTAGAGCACTAGCCTTGAATACAATAGCTCAGGGACAATGTCTAGGCCCTAAGTTCAAGCTTTAGGATAAGCACACACACAAAAAAATCACTCGGTTATCTACTGTCATCTCAGTTACTTATCTACAATCATAGCTCTACTCATAGGACATTGAGAACTATAGAAACTCAGCTGTTAGTCATGTGGGCCAAGTTTGAAGAGTGCACGTGGTAAGGCCATGAGTAGCATGGGTCAGCTGCATTTAATGACAAACCAAAATGGTAAGGAAGTAGACTACAATTAAACCAAAGATATAATGCAGCTAAGTTGTGTTAAGTCAGTGGTGCTAGGAGAAGAGGTGAAAACATACCCATTGAGAGTAAGAGGAGCCAGAACTGTCTGGGCCATCTGATGATGAAGCATCAGGACCTACTTCGCTCAGAGGCACAGGTCCTGAGATCCCCATTGTCTCAGTTCTAGTTTCTGAATGACTATTCCCTTGTAAGCATATCCTCTTTCATGACCTCTTGTTTCCTGTAATGACACCCAACCCCCTCTCATGATTGGTTCCTCTCATCATGGGGCCGGCTATAATTTCTTGTAACTGAAGGAGTACACACACACACACACACACACACACACACACACACACACACACACACACACACACACACACACACACACACACACACACACACAAAAGCTCTTTCCTGAGCTTGGGCTATATAGAACATTGCCAGGAAGCATTGCCAAGGGGCCATAGCCCTTCCTACCAGGTGTGTTTCTACCTTGAGACTCAGTTCACTTGTCCTTCCCACAACACCTTCTTAAACATGGACAAGCCATTTAGAAGCCCCTCTGCAGGGATTGATAGACCAAAAAGAATGCCCCAAGGGTGAAAATTTAAAAACAAACAAAAACCTATGTTTATCATGGGCACTGCCTTCTTCCACCTACTTGGAAAGGGGACTATTGGTTTTATGTTTTTGTTTTTTTGCTGTTAATTTGGGGGGAGCTGTGTCTGCTTATAGGTTCCCCCTAGAAACTCTGTTATTCGTGGAACCTGCTTTGTGACTCCTGCTTTCTAATTAATTCACAGGTGTGCAGCACCAGAAGCACTCTCCTGATTCTGAAAGAAAATGATGCCAGAAAAAAAGGTGAGTGACACACAACTTCCACTTCTCCACACCAGTTCTCTGCCTCAGTTTGTCTTGTCAAATAGTAAGTAAGGCTTTGGGTGTGATCAGAGCCACAAAATTAGAAGGCAGTGAATATGTATGAGCTCTTCCTCCACCCCGCCCCCCCCACTACCACCACAAGCAGGAAAAAAAGAGGCCAATATTTTAGTCTCAGAAAGATGGAGAAGAAATAATACCTGAGCTAAACTCAGATGTATATATCATCCACAGTGAGGCTGGAGCAGCCCAAACACCACGGATTAATTTTACATCTTACATGTAAGACCACCCCAAGTCCTTGGCAATAGAAGGGACTCATTCAATACCTAAATGTATCAGGAATTTAGAATTCCTACCTTGTGTATCTGTCTGATGACTAACAGTCCTTCCCGGCTTATTTGTAGTCTTGACAGAGGTAAAGCCTTATCATACATCCTAAAATTTCACAGCACTGAGGGAGAGGGAAGCTGATTCCAGGGGAAGACATCCTTATCTCCATCTCTTTTGTTGCTGTTGGTGATTACTGTTATTGTTGAAGTCAAGGTGACCTGCTGCCATCCATTCAGCTAACTGCATGCCAGGAAGAGTGGTTTACTTGAAAAATATAGTATGGCGGAGGTCTCATCTGTACCCCTGAAGCATCTCAGAGAGCGTCAAGTTCTCTAGTCCTCCATGCTGCTGGTGTGACTCATATAGCTGCGAACATCCACAGGCTTGAAGTACTACTGTACTTCCTACTACTGTTTCCTCCTCCATGTAGATACACAACAAATCCAGTTACGAGGCTTGCTAACCTCCACTTGAAGACAAAGGGCTTATGTTCAGTGCTTCTGTCTTTCCTCCTCTCTCTCATTGGATTCTAATTTTCACCATAACAACAAAACAAACCCACTTGTTACCTTGGGCCAGTCTCTGAAAATGCAATGCTTAATGTTAGAGAAACAGGGCAAAAGGACTAGAGAATTGTCCTCAAGGTCTGACATTGGGCTCGTAGGTTCAAGTTGAGATTCTACTTTAGAATGTTTAGGTACATATAACACTCATGCATATATGATGAACTTACATGTAGATGGCTATGTTGTCATAGTAGAAACAAAAACTCAGGGGGAAATAAAGTTTCCTGTGTGTATACTTTGGCTAGGAAAACAGAGTTGCCTTCCTTAGCTAGTTAAATGACCCTTAATAAGTTTATTCTGTTTCCCGGGCCTAATCTCAAAAGTTAAATTCTCTCAAACATTTTTGCAGTTCCAAACAGTGTTCATGTTGTGAATATCTCTCACTGCCCTTCGATTTAATTTTTCTTTTAGATAATTACTTGCTATTTCAAGAGTCATATAATTGGACTAACCCAGAACGATCTGTTTTATTATCATCCCTCTGCATATATGACTAATATTTAAGAGTAAATGTAATGAGAGGGTAGGTAGTTGGGAGTGTGTATTAAAGAAGATGAGCCAACTGTAATCTAATTGAAACTTTCACCATCAAATAAATATAACGAGCCCTGTAGTAAATTATAAACAGAGAAAGTCCACAGTAGTGTGCTGTGGGAGTTGCCACAGGAAAATGAGTTTATACAGAGAACAGAAGCTGACTAGCAAAAAGGAATTGGGAGAGATTTGAAGCTATAGACTAGAAACAAGATGGCGGCCACCGCTGAGCGAAACTTAGAAAGGAGTTTAGGCATCTGAATGCTACTAAGTAGTAATTAAGTCAGGCAGGCAAAAAAATAAAAATAAATAAATAAAATACAAAACAACCATGTACCTTAGGGATTGCCAAAACATAGAAAGCAAGTGGCCTGCGGTCATAGAAGAAAGAGGTGGCATCTCAAGAAAGTGAACTTGAAATTTTTCCTGGCCCCCTTCAAGTGCTGGCATAGCTACACAAGAAGAATTCACATTGGTGAATAAGTATTCGCTTGAGAATAAATGTTTCTAGTCTGGGAGCTTGGAAAAGACAGACCTGTATGCATATAGTAAGACCTACAAGAAAGTAAGGATGCAAATGTAAAACCAGTCTACCCCTAACAAGTCTTGAATAAAGTTGAAACTCAGCAGTTGTGGGTTAAGGCACACAGGATTTATAAACAGAAATTATAATTTTCAGTGATTATATGCAATCGCACAAAAATAATGTTTAATACCTAGTTCATAGTATGTACTGTAAATCAGATTTCTTCCTATTCAAGTAAGGTGTTTATTTCATAGGCCACAAAATTCCTTGAGTCACTAAACAACAACAACAACAACAAAAACAGAGAATAATGCCACAAGGTATTTCATGAAAAAGCTACCATAGGAACATTTTTTTTACATTTGCATGGAATTTTATTTTATTTTATTTGACTGTAAAGATGCTGTATAGAAGGCAGGCTCCAGTAGCTCACGCCTGTAATCCTAGCTACTCAGGAGGCTGAGATCTGAGGATTGTGGTTTAAAGCCAGCCTGGGCAGGAAAGTCCGTAAGATACATTTCCAATTAACCACCAGAAAACTGGAAGTGGCACTGTGGCTCAAGTGGTAAAGTGATAGCCTTGAGTTGAAGAGCTCAGGGACAGTGCCCAGACCCAGAGTTCAAGCCCCATGACCAACAACAACAACAAAAAAGATGCTGTATAGAAGGGTTACAGTTACATGAGTAAGGCAATGAGTACACTACTTGTCGACCATTGTTACTCCTTCCCTTGTTATTGTCCCACTATCCCTTCCCTCCCCTTCCCACTACTTTCCACTCCACCCCATCCCCCTGCCCAAAGTTGTAAAGTTCATTTCCAATGTACTGTCCTGTGGGTATCCTTGTTGAAATGGGTCATCCTGTGCCCTTGTTCCAGCATTTCGTTATTCCCCTTCCCCTCCCCAGATTAGACAAATGTATATACAAGATGCAGGGTACCAAAATCAAGTACAGTGACAACAGGGAATATACTATAGGGGGAAGAACATACAAAGGAAACAACAACAAAAAAACCCACACAGTACATTTAAAACAATAACAACAAAGACAGACCTCTTGTGTCCACATCTTGGGGTTACCTTCACTTGGCATCATCTTATATGGACATATTTACATAGTTTTCGAGCTTTTCAGCTCATCTGATAAGATTATCCTATATGTATACTAATTATTGCAAATAAGGGAACCATGGGACCTATGTTTCTTGGGGTCTGGCTTACTTCACTTCACTTAGTATAATTTTTTCCAAGTCTTTCCATTTCCTAACAAATGGGACAGTGTCATTCTTCCTGGTGGAGGCATAGAATTCATATATATATATATATATATATATATATATATATATATATATATATATTCATAAATATATATATATATTTGATACATTCATCTTGAGGGACATCTGGGTTGGTTCCATATCTTACCTATGGTGAATAATGCTGAGATAAACATAGTTGTACTGGTAGCTTTAGTGTGGTCTTGTTTGTGATCGTTTGGGTAAATGCCCAAAAGTGGGATTGCTGGGTCATAGGGAAGCTCTATGTGGAATCTTTTGCTTTCTGAAGTGGTTAAACAAGTTTACACTCCCACCAACAATGCAGTAGGGCTCTCTTCTGGCTACATCCCCTCCAGCATCTGTTGTCATTAGATTTCTTGATTATAGCCATTCTAACTGGGGTGAGGTGGAATGTCGATGTTGTTTTGATTTGCATTTTCTTTTATGGCTAGAAAGGTTGAGCATTTCTTCATGTGTCTATTGGCCATTCTTATTTCCTCTTCAGAGAAGTCCCTAAGTCTTTAGCTTACTTGTTGATGGAGCGATTGTTTATTTTAGGAATTGTTTCTGGAGGATTTAATTTTTTGAATTCTAAGTATATTTTAGATATGAGACCCTTGTCTGTTGTATGGCTAGTGAAGATCTTCTCCCTGTCTTTGGACTTTTTATTGATCTTGCTATGTCCTTTGCCATGCAGAAGCTCTGCAATTTCATGCAATCCCATTTGTCCAATCTTTCTTTGATTTGTTGTGTTTCTGGGTCTTTATTAAGAAAATTTCGGCCTGTTCTAAGGAGCCCTAGAGTTTCTCCTATTCCTTCCTGTAATGTTTTATGGGTATTTGCTTTTACTTCGTGGTCTTTGACTCAGTTGGAGTTGAGACTGGCACAGGGTAATAAATAAAGATCTAGCTTTAGTTTTCTACAGGTGAATAACCAATTTTGCCAGCACCATTTACTGAAGAGGCTGTCTTTCTTCCATCCTATTTTGTTGGTTCCCTTATCAACAATTAGGTGGCTATAGGTCTGCAAGTTCAGTTCTGGGTCTTCAGTTCTATTCCTTTGGTCTTCAGGTCTGTTCTTGTGCCACCAAGCTGTTGGATTACAATGGCCTTGTAGTTGAATTTGAAGTTTGGTATTGTTATTCTTCCAGCACTGTTCTTTCTGCTAAGGATTATTTTTTGCTGTTCGGGGTCTTTTATTGTTGCATGTGAATTTTTGGATTGCTTCTTCTATTTCATTGAAGAATGAAGTTGGCATATTAATGGGTATTGCATTGAATTTGTGATAGCCTTTGGCAGTATTGCCATTTTCACGATGTTAATCCTCCCTATCCAGAAGCATGGGAGGTTTTTCCACTTCTTTAGTTCTCCTTTAATTTCCTTTTTCAGGTTTTTAAAGTCTTCATCATAGAGGTCCTTCACTTCTTTAGTTAATTCCTAGGTATTTTATTTTTTGTGAGGCTATTACAAAAGGAGTTGCTGTCTTGACTTCAGCTGTGCTCTTCTCATTATTGGCATACAGGAAAGCCATTGATTTTTGAGGGTTAATTTTATACCCTGCTACTTTGCTAAAGTTTTGAATCAGCTCAAGTAATTTGGGAGTAGAGTCCATGGAGTGCTTTAAATACAAGATCATGTCATCTGCAAAGTGGGAGAGTTTTACTTCATCTTTTCCTATTTGGATCCCCTTTATGTTTGCATCTTGTCTTATTGCTCTAGCTCGGCATTCTAATACTGAATTGAAGAAGA